TGATAAAACAAACTCCTAACGTGACATAACCAAACCAGCACTACACTCATCTTAGCTATTTCCACTACTGCTACACTGACCTCTTTCAGTCTTGTAACTGTTTCATGTCCTCTTCTGCCACAGGCTCTTTTAACATGAACTTTCCTTTCTCCTTCACCTGGATAACACCTACTCATTCTTGGAACCTTAGTTCAACTGTGACAGCCAGATCAAAGTCCCCTATCTTACATCCTTATCTCTGCCATTAGAATTGCCCATGAAAACAAGGATTGTGTTTTATTCACAAATGTAGTTTCAATACTTATTCATCATACCTGACATATAGCAGACACTCAAATCTAATGTAAGTATATTAGATAGACTCATAATTTAATGAGTTTTAAAAATAAATGAAATTGTAAGTAGAGATAAATTAAAGAGGATAGAGTCGAGATTATCCCAAAAGGAGAAACTTTTTTTTGTCTCTACTTGAGAAATCTCAGCAACATATTTTAATATGATTTGCAGAATGTTTCTGGTATGAGTAACCATAATGTCACTAAAAAATAAGAAGTATGGGAAGAAAAGTAGGCTTGGGTGGTAAAAAACCATTTTGGGATATGCTGAGTTTGAGCTGTGTGTGGAACACTCGAATCCAAATAGTCAACAAATTGTTAGAACATGTGGTTCTTGACTGTCAAGTCTGAATTAAAATACAGCTTTGGGTGTGTAACAATACAACAGAGAGAGAGCAAGAAAGAAAAAACAATGAGACTGAACAAAGAAAGTACACAGAGATAAAAATGAAACCAAATCAGAATCCCAGAAACATCAGCATTTAAGAAAAAGGCCATAAATGAGACAATAAAGGGAGCAAGGAAGAAAATTAGAAGACAATGAAGTTAAAAAAACTGAGTTTTTAAACAGAGGAACTGTCAAGTAATGTCAACAGCCAAAAAGTGATCAAGTGAGATAAAATTAGAAATTATCAATGCAGTTGGCAATAAGTAAATAGTGAGGATGGAAAGAGGACTACAGCAGATTGAGGGGTGAAAATGAGATGAGAACTACAGAGACAGTGAATATAAACTATTTTTCTAAGAAGTTTGAATGCAAAAGAAATAAAAAGACAGGAGGGACATGTACCGGTAGGAGTTGAAGGTCAAGGAAGTATTTTGTTTGCTTATTTGCTTATAAAATTAAAGACTTTGGTATATTTATATGTTAAAAGGAAGAAGCCAGTGGTTGAAAACATGAGGAAAAACATCTGATGTAACATGGTCTAAGTATGAGTCACGAGAGATTTTACCTTAGCCAGCAAAAACAGAGGAACCTTGGATATAAAGAAGCATTTTTCTTTCTCAGGGAAGAAAGTATGGATGTGTGCAGATGAACAGGTGTTACAAGAGGAGAGGAAGCAGCACACCAAGGAAAGGATTGTATGCCATATGTAAAAATTGTTTTTTAAAAATATATTTACCCTCTGAGCAACTGAGAGCTACCTGAAAATTTTTAAGGAATGGAATAGTAAGATGACATTTATGCTTTAGGGGAGTCAGGAGTATTAACCCAGGGGTTTGGTACAGCCACTGTTAAAAAGGAAGACCTGACTGGAAAGACCAAAAATGTGCTAAATATCCAGCAAGAGAGCAGGAGTAGTCTATACTCTCACTTGTGCTGCTACTTAGTGATGTGCTGCCATTCAAAGATTCACTAGCTGATGCTGACACCACAGGTCCCTTGGTCCCTCAGAGAGCTTAATTTCCTTTATTGATCTGTTATTGTCATGGGCCGCATTCAATCAACACACTGATTTTGGTTTACTTTCTTCTCTCCTTGATCGTTAAGAATATATTCAGAATTTATTTTAGCATTTTCTTAACTTTCTTCAAACTTTCCTACAAAACTGCTAAAAGGTAGGAAAAATAAAATGTTGTATAACACAAAGGAAGAAATTTTATAATGTAAAAATTGTAAGGACAAAAAAAGTTTATCATATAAAACACCAAATTTCAGATCTGAAATCTAGGTCAAATTACTGCCAGGGTTTAAACAGAATTTGAAAAAAAAGAGGTATCTAACTCTTTTTCTTTACTAACACAAGGAAAGAACTATTTCAAAACCATTACATCATAAAAGCACTTTTGTATATTAACAACTATATAAACCAGTAAATTTTTTGAATCAAATATTGAGGTACATAGAAGAATATACTAACTGGTTATCTCCTTCAAAATTGTGCAAAGTGCTAATAATTCATCAAGTAGTATATAAAATGTATATAAGCTGTGGGTGTATAAAAGAATAACCATTCCAATCTCAAGAACGATTAAAAGAGTCACTCCTGGAGAAACCATCTTAGTCAAATGTAGAATTAAAATGAACCTATTAGAAGATGACAAAGAATTTTGCAAAACTATGATTTAACAGAACTTCACTTAAACTAAAAATTTGGGGTGACTTAGGACAAGTCAGTTAAATGATTTTTTTATATCATCAAACTAAGCACAAATAGGCTGCAGATTCTAAATGAGTCTCCTTAGTGTTGAGCTATGCATTTAAACATACAGAGAGGTTTCCATGAAAGCAAACTATTTATTTACCTTTGACTCAAAGAGTTAACTGACATTCAAGAGGAAGAAATCAAACACCAAATGTCACCTCCTATTCATCCTTCTCACCTTCATACCTTCACCTTTAAACAGAGGCACACAACAAAATACTGGACATTGAAGTAGCACGCTTTCTTTCAATCAGTGTATTTACTTAACTACTCCCTTTGCCCAAACCACTCCTGAAATTGAAAACAAGTCTTTTCCTTCAAGGCTTCCTAAAGGGGAGGTTTTTTTGTTTTTTTTTTGGAGGGGGGTGGGTGGAGAAAGGGCTTCTTTCCACAGACATTGTTTTCTCTATTACACCATCTATATGCCTTTTCTGTTTCCCTCACTAGTCTCAGAGTTCTTCATTATATTCACTGGAAACACAAGAACAACCTATTCTACAACCATAGCTATAATTCTTCAATATCCAAAATAAATGAAACATATGGATAAGCCACTGTGTAGGGTTTTTGGTTCTTTTATAAAAACCGGCTTCTCCACTATTACTCTCTTACTATGGCAACATTTCAACTTCCCTAGGGAGAAACCTTCAAGCTCTGTGGACATTTCCCAGCGTAAAACTCGTTTTAAAGGCCTCTAAGTCGCTAATGAAAATTTCCTCTACTGGCTATCCAGTAGAAGCAATTTTCTCTGTAAACTCAGCCTGTCAAAAAGTAAAAAGCAAAACACTCAAAAAAACCCACACGTCATAAAGATTTATATTTAATTTTTTCAACTTAAGAGAATGGCTATTTGAGTTAGGGTATTTCATGATTTCTCAAAGGTTGTTCCTTCCGGCTCAAACTATGTAAAATGCAACACATATAAACCATGCAATAAAATGCAGTCACTGCACCTCAAAATATTTCTCAGAGTTGTCTTAAAACCAAATCCTTACCTAACAAACATATCACTTATATTTCCACTCAAAGAAATTTGTAAATGCACTAAAGTGCTTGCAAAGAAGCTATGAACTATTACTCTTATAATGCCAGAATATATTTTTTAAATTCCTAAAACTATAGTCTTTCCTATGAAAAACAATGTAGTTTTTCTTTGGGACTCAACCTTACACAACAATAAAAGTTTTAATGTTTTCTTTTAGCAAGGGAATTGCTATGCACCTCACAGAAACTGTTCTTATTGTAGATACTGAAATTCAAATATAAGACACAGAATTCCAAAAGGGGATTCACTTTACACTTAACTAAAGAAAGCAATGAACCTGCTTTCTACCTGGATCTTCACATTCTTTCAGTATTCCTTAATTAATAAAATACTAAAAAAATAAACACATATTGTTTTAACTTTCATCCCTAAAGTGACCTACATACTGAAAAGCAAATGGACCAAACAACCTCTGGGATTTCTCAAGAATCATCAAGTCAGACTAAAAATTTACCACAGGCAGTGCTATAAAATAAACCAACGGAGTTCCAAGGTATAAGTGACACCTTATCAGCCTTCTCAGGGTTTGTTGGGAAACCACAAACGTGAAGGCAAAAGTCACAAACACTGATGACTCCTCAGCAAAACAGCTAAAAGGCTATACATTAGAGCAAACACAGCCGTACGCGATGGCAAACTGAAATGTCATATCAGAAAAACAGGAAGACCCACTACTATTGACCTACAACTATCCGTGCAGAGCTGACGCACAGCTCTCCCGCCCGCACGCGCTCGGGGCTCTGCCAGCATAACCGGTAAGTCACAGCCACACTCCGCGGGCTTCTCCGCGCCCCCCGCACCTGACAGCCCAACAACAACCTGGGTGAGAAGGCAAGGAGCAACACCCTCCGCCGGGACCGAGGGCCGGCTCCACCCAGCTCTACCCCGAGCCAGGGGGCGGCCGAGGGCTCCTTCTCACTCGCAACCGGGTCCAGGGGCCGCCGCGCCGCGCCCTCGCCTCCCCCCGCGCTGACAGTGGCGGGCGGGCGACGGACGAAGCTTGCGCCACCTCCAGACCCCCTCTCCGCAGCAGACCGGAGCACAAGCTCCCGGTCACCACCCACCCACGCCCTCCTGGGCACGCCGTCGGCCCGCGGGGGCCAAGGACGCGCGCCGGCGGACAGCGGCGCGGGCGGGACCGCGGGCCGGACTCCCGGGAGGCGCCCCCGCGGGACCGCAAGATGGCGGCGGCGCCAGGGCCCGGCTCCCCTTCGCCTCGCCCGGGCCGGCGCGCGCACCGAGGCGCGGGCAGGCGCGGGCGGGCGGGCGCGGGCCGGAGCCAGGGGCAGGGCAGGCAGGCCGAGCGGAGGCGGCGAGGGAGCAGCCGGAAAATGGAAAGCGCCGGGCGTGGGGGAGGGGACGCTCCCTCGGGCGAGGGCCGCCGACGTGCCCGCAGCGCCCGCCGCCCGCCCGCCAGCCCTCGAGCCCAGCGCTCGCCCCAGCCCGCTCCGGAGGTGTCCTCGTCCTGCCTACCTTTGAATTTGAGGTCTGTGGGCGGGTCGAGGACCAGGATCTGCTCGTGCTTCGCCATGGCCCCGGCGGCGGACGCCATCGGAGAGACAGCGCTGAGCGGGGGCGCGCCCGCGGCGGCGGTTTGCTGGCTGGGGGCGGGGGCAACGGCGGCGCCGGCTCTGCGGAGCTCTAGGACGGGGCCAGGCTCGCGTCTCCCGAGCCGCGACACCTGCCGCTGTATCGCTGGCTCGGTGGGCCGCCCGCTGGGTCAGCAGCTCCCGCTCTCACAACTGACTCAACCCCACACCAGCCGCCGCGGCCACGCGCACTGCGATCCTCAGAGCCCCACGTGACGGCCTCTACGTGCCTACGTGCGCGCCCCGGCAGCCGGGAGCCCCTGGCGCTCGTCCCGCCCTCCAGGCCTGCCTAGCGCGGCGCAGGGCTGGTGCGCCTGCGCACTCTCGGCCTCGCCGCGGCTCCGAAGCACAGCCCAGCTGTCAAGAGAACGGGTGTGGACAAGGGGCGGAGCAAAGCTGTGAGACCGACGCGGCGCGCAGCGCAGGGCAAAAAGGTCAATCTTCTGTCACGCTGAGCTCCGAGTGCGAGACTAGAGAAGCTGCCATGGCAGTGTATCACCATCTTCCAAGTAGGAGTGCCTACTGGAAGGAAGTAGTGGGGAAGCGCCTGCTCACTACAACTCCCAGCATGCTCTTTGGGGGCGGGGCCTCCGCCGAGGGCCTGGTCCTCTGCGGCCCCGCGCGGTGCTTGCTGGGAACTGTAGTAGCGGCTGTTTGTGGGCGGGAACGAGAATGAGGTCCGTTGGAGGCCAGTGGGGTGGGGTCTGCTGACAATCATTTGGCTATGAGAGAATGTCTGGTTTGCGCTAATAAAGGAACGATACTTTTGAAGGCTGACCTGAGGTCCCCATGTTAGAAATATAAAATCTACGCTGTGGAAAACAGGCAGGGATTTGGCGGTTTGTTCTGTAATTCTGTTGGTAGAGCTGAATCCTGTGTCTTATACCAATCCAACCTCTCCTGCTTCCTGAATTCTCTCGAGTGATGCAAGATCAGATGAGGGAACACACCTCGTTTAAGAAGGAAACGCGTCGCGTCGTAGGGGAAATCTGACAAGGCACCTATAAGCTAGAAAAAAAGGTCAAAATCTGCAGCACTGTATTCAGTTGCTGCAATCTATTCTTCAGTCTTGATTAATAATAGACCCAAACCGAAACAGTTGTCATGTTCACATATTAGAAACGAATTCCGTCTACATCACTTACGATAGCTTGTAGTAAACTGAACCAAATGAGAACAATCCCTACAGCAAAGTTGCTGACAAATCTTAAACAGATTGCCAGGATAGTTGGGGAAGGGAACATCAAATGAAACAAATAAACGTGCTGTAAATAACCCTTTATTGTATTTTATGATACTGCTTAAATTTAAATCCCTAAGAAGCACCACGAAACAAAGGACACATTGATGCTACTGCAATAGAGCAGCACAATTTGTCTAAAAAATAAAAGAGACAAATGAAACAGTCTAGGCATAGGCACAAAGTCTAGGTTTTCATGTGCAATCCAGGCATCAGAGCCCGTCCAGGAATAGCTCTCCAGAATAGCTAACCTAGCATTCACAGAAGATTGTGCCACACTAGAGGAATGTATCCTCAGCAGCGAAGAACCTGGGAGGGTGGGAGTGCTTAGTTTGACAAGCATATTCTTAAGTTTACCTTTCCTTTGATTTCTTTTTACTCACAAAAGTTATTTTGAAATGTCAATTATCACTAAAGGAGAATAAAAATATTGTATGTTATTAAAGTGGTGCTTAAAGTTATTTTTTTTAAATAGGTTGAGATTGACAGTCCACAATATGGTGTCCCACATATGTTTAGTTGTGAACTGATAACCCTAAAAGCCCTCATAAACTCTTATTCTTTGCCTGCCTAAGACCTCTTTTCTATGGACAAGCTGGCCCTGGCAGAACTGGCCTCTCCATAGCTGGATGGATACTTCTCTTACCAGAAAGCATTTGGCAATGCCCAGTGTGCAAACCGCCAATTAGCAGGATAGTAATCAGAGAAAGTTCCTAGACACTCTTATGGGACAGTGGTTGCCCATTCACCAGAGGTTTAATGGGAAGCCTGACCTGCTTGTGTTCTAGTTTCCCAGTAGATGTCATTAAGCAACCTATGCCCATTTAAATCATATATCATTGGAATCAACTGTTTTTCTCTTCTCAATATTGCTTCAAAAATCATATGGGTATAGTCTTAAAATATATCAGAATTTAAAAATCTGGTATTCTAAGTATATATGAAACATCTTGGGATTAATTCCCCTATTACTATTTTAGGGTATTGCATTAGTAATGACTCAGAGTCTTCCTGAATCATCTGCCCCTCATCAAATAGTGCACTATTTAAGTGGTTTGTTCTTTGGTATTTATTAGTACCTTTCTTCTAGCAGTTCAGAGAACTTTACAAACATCATCATACCCTACTCAGAACAACTTTATAAGAGTTGGCAAGTGTAACTTTCATTGTTAAATATGGAAATAAAAACACAGATGAGAGCATCTCTTGTCACTAATAGAGCTAAACTATGAAGGGGAAAGTTACCCACTTTTCAATTCTGTGAATTTTTGCTCTTCCCAATGCCATAATAAAATGACAACCCACAGTGATCGAGGCAAAAATTTAAAAAGTAATTGGCTTATTCTATTTTTTAACAATTAAGCTAGGAATGGTGAACATGGAACCTAATGTTCATTCTGTTTGCTGTTTTTTGGATTGATTCATGCAGCACAGAAAGGTCTCAAAGTATTAGCAAAATGAAAGCTATACTCTTAAGCATATCTAGCTACCAAATTATCACAAGTCTAAGAGGCACAAAGACCTTGAATATTATTTCAACCTATTTGAATCACCAATACTATTCACCTTTGGACAGGTTATCTCTTTCAGGGTTGGCAAAAATTTTAAAAATGAATTTCAAGTACAAATTATATCAAAGTACTGTATACTCATCTTCTCCATAAACATGTTAAACTTTACAATATAAGTGCTCTATAATTATGACTTTGATTATGAGCAATTCTCTGAGCAATTCAGTGAAAGAGACATGTTTTCAATAAATATTGGGGAAGTAAGATGTATTCAGTAAAAGAGTAGGCTTTGGATCTGAACTGCTGGGTTCAAGATCCATTTTCCACTATGTGATCTTAGCAACTTACTTCACCTCCCTGTGCCTGTTTTATAATACATATGTAAAATGAGAATAACAATAATACCTACATCCTAGGTTTGTTACAAGGATTAAATGAGTTACAACACATAAAGAGCTTAGAATAGTGCCTGGGTCCAACACTGTTATAATGTTAAATGTTAAGTTACTGCTGTGTGCCTGGCACTGTGGCAGGTACTGGTGATTATCAGTAAGCCAATAGACATGGTCCCTGCCCTTGTAGACTTACATTCAAGTAAGAGAGACAAATGTGAAATAACTAGCTATTCAATGACTTCATTTGAATTTTGGTAAATATTAGAAAGAAGAAGTCTAAGGTACTTATGACAGTGACCAGAAGGAACTAGGCAGAGGATTTAGAGATGGTCTTCTTTAGGGAGCAATAAGAAGTATCTGTTAAAGGATGATGGATTTCCAGGCAAAGGGAACAGCATATGTAGAGCCTGAATAAGATAGTGATAAGAGCATGGGTCCTTCTAAATTGTTAAAGACAGGCCAATTTGCTGCAGTGAAGAAAGCAGGTAGTGAGTTGCAGGAGATGAAGCTGAAAATCCATGTTCTGCAGATTGTTTTAAGCCATATTAAGGATTTGAGTCTTTATCATAAAAAAGATGAAACCATCAAAAGGTTGAAACAATGGAGTCATATGAGAAATCTTTAAAAGGTCTCTTGACTACAACATGGAGATTGGATTAGAGTGGGTAAGAGGGCATATGGAAAAACCTGCGGACTTTATTTATATAATCAGAACACAGCATGGCATTACAGAGGGTGGTATTGCAAAGGTTGCTACCTTGGGCTGGGGTAGACACAGTGGAGTTGGAGAAAAGTATGGATGAATTTGAGAGACATTGGGTTGTATAATCAGTAACCAATCAGTTATTGATTAGATACAGGGTGGTAAGGGAAAGTGATATAGTGAGGGATAGCTTTCCTTCTTCAGGTGGATGTGCAAGTGGATGGATTATGATGCCATTCATGCAGAGAGAGGACATGAGGGAGGACCAGATTCTGATGTTGAGGTGTAGGGAAGGAAAGATCATGAACCAGTTTGATGTAAGATGTCTTTGAGACATTAATGGGAAAATGTTAAATAAGCAATAGGATGTTCTGGTTCAAGCTCAAAAGGAGCAGCTCTGGGCTGAAAACTGAACCTCAGGGTCTTAAGCATGCACGGTGATCAAAGTCATGGGCATCGATGAGGTTACTAATACATATAGACAAACAACCAGAGTCTTGTACTAATTCTCAGAAAACTTCAACTTTTAAATATCTCTTTTAATAGAATGAGTTAGCATGGGTAGAAGAGGAATGGCCAAAAAGGTAGGAGGGGAGCTAGGAACACCAGGAGGACGTGGTTAATACTGTGGATGGCTCAGTCAGCCCCTTTCCAACTTCTTTCAGGGGTGGCTTCCTACATTGGTGAAGCAGCTAGGATCTAGCCTTTTCAGCTAGGATTCTGCTTATGAAATGAGTTCACCTAGTGAGATATACTCCTGTGATATTTGAAATTAGAAGCGAGACAGGGGCTATCATTCTGTCCCGTCTGGCTGTTTTCCTATTAAGGCAAGAGACTTGAGGGGTTTTCTCAATGGCATTCCAGTGTCCACTTACCAGCTTCCTGGATATCAAGAGCCAGTTAGTTGTAGCATGGTCAGCAGAAGCAGTGACATGAGGAGCAGCGACCAGCTTCCTGATCCCTGGATCAAAAGTAAGGGGTGTGTCTTAAAGTCGCCAGTTCCAGTGCATCCTCAGAGTGGTGGCTGCCTAGTGGCACAGCTCAGCCTGTCCTGTGGGACCATTCTGAAGAGCCTGGCCTAGAGCCTGCTCCTACAGTCCTGTCAACAATTCTGTGAGCACCTTCATTATGTCACTTCCTGCTTATAATGTCAGAACAGTACAGAGAGTGAGATGTCAGGGATCCAAGAGTGGATCAAGAAGGAGGTCAACAGCGTAGAAATCTGCTGACTTGTCCCATAAGGCCAGGACTAGGAAACACTCACCTGACAGTGACAGGGGTTCTGAGGGTGAAAATAGAATACAACAGAGCTAGAGTCACTGCACACACAGAGCTCTTTCTAAAACAATAGGTACACTAGAGAATGACAACTAGCTGAAGCATGTCCAGGTCAGGCATTGTCACAGGCATTGTCACATTGCAATGCCTATGTAAACGTGGATGTGTTGGTGGTGCTTATTGCAACATATTTATTACACTTCTATGAGCTGGGCACACTGAAGCATCCCATGTTAAATCAAGGCTAAAAAGAAGAGTTAGGAAAAAACTTATCCTGGGAACTTTTCTTTGCATGACCATTTATAGAAATTAAAGCTAATCGGTTTTTGTGAAAAAGAATTTGAAGAATATGTTTTCTTCTATTAATCTTTTATACTGTAAAAGCAATATGTGCTTACTATAACAAGTGACACAATTTAAAGGGATATGAATAAAAAAATCCTCCTACATCTCCCAATTCCACTCCACTGAGGGTAACCAGTGTTAGCTGCCAGGTTATAGATCATTCCCCAACTTTTTCCATACCTACAAAAGCAAAGCTAGTTGCTGCTGTTTAGAAGAATTCTAACAGATTACTATACAATTGCTTCATTCACCTAGCAGTATGTTATAGACATCTGACCAAGTTGATTGAGATAATCTAACTTGATCTTTGGGTGGCTGAACCCATAGAATAGATTATCTTACCACAGAACCATTTGTTTCCTTATCAATGAACATGTAGATTGATGTAGGCTTTTATCACAACAAATAGCACTGCAGTAAATATCCTTACACACATATCTTTACCATCGGACGCTTTTATTTCCGCAGAGAGATTTCCAGTGGTGGGACTGCCGGATCAAGGATACTTCCTATTTCAATTCAGACTGTGCACTGTTCATCCAAATGGTTGTAGCAGTTCACACTTCCGTCAGGATTGTATGAGGTGTCCATCTCTCCCATCCTCGCCAAGCGCTTGGTCTCACTCTGACTCCAGCTGTGAAGCACAAATATAAGCATCCTTGGATGGTTTGGGCCAACAGTTCTCCCCTTAGGAGTTTATCACAATTCCACTGACTCTATCCCTGTTCATTGAATCCACCTTCTCTTGCTCATTTCATTTTTCTTCTATAGATTGCAAAGATTAGAGCCCCTGCAAGCAACCAGGGATTCTCTGCAGCTAATAATGTGTTTTCTCCCACACATACTTTTGTTCTTAAAGGAAACTAAGCAAGGAGAAATCAAAAGATGCCTATGTACAAGAAATCCTCATTTGACACCTTGCCGGGCTGCTCATGGTCCCTGGACAGACAGGTTTCTTCCTACGGCCGTAACAGCACCTATAGTAGATGTGGGGCCAAGAATGCAGGTGTGTGCATCAGACAGACTGGAATCCAGGCTTCCTCCTCTTTGCCCTGTGGGGTTGTGCATTTACTCAATGGCTCCATCTATAAAATGGCAACAATACAACCTCTATTTATTATTGCTTATGAGGACTAAATGATAATGTGTATAAAGTGCTTAGCCTAGTACTTGGCAAATGGTAAGCTTTTAATAAATGATCGGTATATGATATTTTATAAACTTTGATTTCTCCTTTGAAATATGTTAGCTGTTTAAATCCAAGACCAAATGATGACTAAAAATAATTTAATGTTCTTTCATATCTCCTTTGAAATATAATGTTAAACATTTAAATCCATGACCAAATGTTGTCTCTTTAAGATACTTCATAAATAAGATACTTCATAATTTTCTGAAAATAATGAGGATTGGCTTTTTGTACTTATTTATTCCAAGTCTGGATGACACTTGGAGCCAAGCTCAATGGTCCAGGCTGGGGGAGACACGATGAAGACTAACACCTGATTTAAGTCCTGAAAAAGTTGACGGTCTAAATGGACTTGAATAGCCATAATCTAATGTGTGAAGTGTCATAAGAGAAGGAAATGAAAAGAACTATGAAAGAATAGAAGCAGGAGTGATTAACTCTGGAAGAGTTGAAAAAGAAGAGATATCTGACCATTTCAAGATTGTGGTATTTTTACCAAGTACCCCTGTGACAAACACTTACTTTTCTAAGATTTTTTCTACTAGAGCATTTAATTTCTTTTCCTGGAGATTTTCATGTTGTTGTTGTTGGCAAGAACAAAATCACTTGATGTTCATAGCAGCATTATTCACAATATCCAAAATGTGGAAACAACACAGCATTGAATGAATGTATAAACAAAATGGAGTATATATATGCAATGGAATATTATTCAGTCTTAAAAAGGAAGAAATTATGACACATACTACAACATAGATGAAGCTTGAGGATGTTATGCTAAGTGAAATAAGCCAGTCATAAAAGAACAAATATTATTCCACTTATACGAGGTACCTAGAGTAGTCAAATTCATAAAGACACCAGCCTGGGCAAAATAGCGAAACCCTATCTCTGCAAAAAATTTTAAAACTAGCCAGGTATGATGGCATGGGCCCGTAGTCAGCTACTTGGAAGGCTAAAGTAGCCAGATCGCTTGAGCCCAGGAATTTGAGGTTGCAGTGAGCTAGGATCAGGGTACTGCACTCCAGCCTGGGTGACAGAGTGAGACCCTGTCTCAAAACAAAAACAAATATCATAGAGACAGAAAGTAGAATGTTGGTTGCCAGGGGGTGGAGGGAGGGAGGAATGGGGAATCGCTTAATGGGTACAGAATTTTAGTTTTGCAAGAAGATAAGAGTTCTGAAGATTAGTTTACAACAATGTGAATGTACTTAACACTGCTGAACCATACACTTTAAAATGATTAAGATGGTAAATTTTGTGTTACGTGTATTTTTCCACAATAAAAATTTTTTAAATTTTAATGATTAAAATGATAAATTTTATGTTATAGATATTTAATTAACCACAATAAAAAAATAAAAACATATGTTTGGTTTTGTTTAGCACAAGTAGTTCATTATTTAATTCTGTAACGAAGCCCTTGCTGGCTCCTTTCATCCTCAGTAGCTCTTCTACTTTCACTTGTCTTGGTGGTTTTAAGCAACAGCCTTGGGACCAAGAGCCCAGGGCTCATGCAGATCTGGTTCAACTCTATTAGTGGAGATAATAAAACTCTTGCCCACAAGATTATTGTTAAAATTAAATGAGATAATACTTCTAAATATCTGAGCACAATACCTGGCACTGGTAAATGCTCAATAAATGTTACTGTTTACACTGTTACTAAATTTATTAATACTTTGTAATTGTTCATTCATGGGCATAAATAATAAATGTCTATTTTGTTTCCCTGTGAAAAGTTTATGTTGCTTGGAATAACTAGGATCATAAATTTATCCAAAGAAAATGGCATTCCAAAAAGTGGATGGTTACCACTGGGGACCCAATAGCACAGTGTGACAAATAGTTATTTTCAAAGACATTCTTTTTAGACATAATATCACTTAATTCTCTACTTTAATTTGATGCTCCTACTGTTGAGTAAGTCTGGACTATAATCTCATCAGTCTATTAAGTAAATTCTTAATCATTACATTAAAAAAATGTGAATCCATGTGAGGATCCCTATTTTTATTGTACAGACAAGTAAATACCCATGGCCCTAAACCAGCGGTTTAGGCCGAGGGGCCAAGTAGAGATGATGTGACCCAATAGTTAGGAAGACACACAACCTAGTGAGGCCCGGCCATGGCCAGTCAGGAACCTAAAACATCTCAGTCTGAACTTAGAAATAATGAGTTCAGTCACCACACCTGAAACACGTGTAGGGAGAGGCGGGTGGAGCACGGAGCCCCATCCGGAGGTGTGCCCTGACCCACCCATTCATTCGTCTGGAGAGGGCGTGCCATGAAATAGGTAAGTCCACTTGATCGCATGATGTGGTGGGGGAAGTTCAACACTGTTCCTGTTCTCAGTACCTTAGTTAGTATCAGTTTCTGATATGTTTGAAAGAAGTTGAAGTCAAGTAAGTAGATTTATTTTAATGCAATTATATGGCCAAGACACTGATATTTGTGGAAGAATTCATTGAGCTGCTTCCTCAGATTAAGGCATTTCTTTGGAATTAAAAAAACTCTGGGCCAGGCGTGGTGGCTCACACCTATAATCCTAGCACTCTGGGAGGCTGAGGTGGGTGGATTGCTCAAGGTCAGGAGTTCGAGACCAGCCTGAGCAAGAGTGAGACCTCGTCTCTACTATAAAGAAATTAATTGGCCAACTAAAAAAAAAAAAATATATATATATATATATAAATTAGCCAGGCATGGTGGCACATGCTGTAGTCCCAGATACTTGGGAGGCTGAGGCAGGAGGATTGCTTGAGCCCAGGAGTTTGAGGTTGCTGTGAGCTAAGCTGACACCATGGCACTCTAGCCCAGGCAACAGAAGTGAGACTGTGTCAAAAAAGAAAAAGAAAAAAAAAAAAACACTCTGAAAGATTTAACATATCAGCCTCAGTGGCTCACAAGGTTGTACTTCCTTTCAGATGTGATAAAAATTCTTGAATGCTTGAAGAATTCACACATTGCCTATTTTTTTCAGATTCTGTTTATCTTCTCTCAGCTCCCTTTAAATGACTGAGTTGCCAATGCCAGAGCATGCTGGTGAAGAGAGAAAGTCAAATGAGCACCAGGACCCACGAAGCTTGCCCCTTGACCAATCTCCCCAGTAAGGAAGGCAATTATACAAAAAAACGTGGACAAATTGAGCACATGGCAATGGCGACTATAATTATTCCTATTTTTAATCTGGTCAAAGATTAATAGAATCATGGATTTTGAAGTATTATAAAGTAAAGGAAATGTAATCACAATTCTGATATGAGTTATAGATCTAAATGTGTACGAATCATTCTTTAAGTTTCTATAGTTACATATAAAGTGCAATCCAGATAATGTGTGGCTTATTGTGCATCAATCTCATCAGCATGGTTCAGTTTCAGAAGAAATACATTAAGCTGAAATCAGATTATGTCCACGAGGAAGACTTAGTAACCATACAATTTTGGAAATGAGTATATAAATTCCAGAACTGTTTGGCAATGTAGTAAACAATGTCTGGTCCCTGATTGTACATTCTCTTTTGTAAAATCACTGAGACGGAAGCTGAGTGTCATCATAAATTATGGAAACTTTGAGCCAGAATAATTCAGTCTGTAAAGAGTAATATTCTTTTTGTCTTTATTACAAATAGTGATTAACATGAGACCTGCAGCTTAATATGAACCCCATGAGAGCAGGGACCTCATGCTGTTCATGGCTACATCTCCAGCATCTACAACAGGGCCTGAGATACAGAAGGTATTCAATGTATATGTATTGTTTGCTAATTTTTATTTTGAAATACAGTTAACCCTTGAACAACACAGGTTTGAACTGCACGGGTCCACTTATATAAGGATTTTCTTCTGCCTCTGCCACCCCTGAGACAGCAAAGCCAAGCCCTCCTCCTCTTCCTCATCCTCCTCATTCTAGTCAACATGAAGCTGATGAGAATGAAGACCTTTATGCTGATCCGCTTCCACTTAATGAATATTGAATGTATTTTCTCTTCATTATGATTCTCTTAACATTTTCTCTTCTTTAGCTTACTTTACTGTAAGAATACAGTATATAATGCATGTAACATACAAAATATGGGTAAGGCTTTCAGTCAGCAATAGGCTATTAGTAGGTAAGTTGGGGGGAATGAAAAGTTACATGAGGATTTTCCCCTTCATGGAGGCCGCTGCCCCTAACCTCCACCTTGTTCAAGGATTGACTGTAATTTTAGACTTACAGAAAAGTTGCAAAAAGAACTCAGAGTTCCCCCAATCCTTTCCTCCAGCTTCCCCTAAAATTAATCTTACATAACCAGAGTAATTATCAAAAACAGGAACAATACTGATTCAATATTATGAGCTAATCTGCAGACCTTATTAGAATTTCTCATTTTCCCTCTAACGCCCTTTAACTTGTCAAGAATACGGTCCAGGGTCCTGCCGGCCACAGCCCAGTCTCCTCCGAGCTGCGAGAGCACCTTAGTCTTTTTTGTCTTTCGTGTCCCTGACACTTCTGAAGGGCGTCAGTCAGTTATTTTGTACAATGTTCCACCTTGGGCGTCTGTCTGGGGTTTCCTACTGATTAGATTGAGGTGATGCGTTTGGGGCCAGGCTGCCACCGTGTTTCTAATCAGACTTTCACTCACTAATTTTAGCATCTATCAATGATTCTAACTTGTAACAATTACTACTGACATATCGACCTAACAGTGATTTTCTATCATTCCTTCTACTTTGATTGATTGGAAAGTGTCCCTCCTCCATTCCTACAATATAAGAAAATATATATATGGTTATATGAGAAAATATACCTATATCTGCTCATTTGTGCCCAAGGGTAAACTAGAAACAGATTGGTCACCTACAGGTGTTGTGTGGGAACGGAAGGGAAAGAATGATATCAGTGAGAACGGGAGAGACGGGATGGGAAGGGACACTTTGCCAACTGTGTTCTTGCTTAGAACCAGGCTAATTTTAGACCTTAGACCCCATTGCTCCCTTCACCTCCTTTCCTGTTGTTTTTCTCATCTGTCTTTGCTTACCACCTTCTGACTCGTGTGACCCACTGAGCACTGTTTCCTTCTTTAATTTGCAGGAGGTATCTTGGCATAACTCCGATCACTGAACCCCTAAGAACGTTCCTAAAGAGGCAGCTCCCTGAATCTCCACCATCCTACCAAGACCTGCAGTGCACTGGCACCTTTGGCTTGCCCTGCCCAATCAGCGTGATGTCATCCACGTAACGGGTCACTGTGGTGTTCCACAGGGTGTCCAGACTGTCTGGATTAAGACAGAGGCTGGAAAAGTTCACAGTGCCCTGGACAAGACAATAAATTAGCATTGTTGTCCATTCCACATGAATACAAACTGCTTCTCTTCAGAATAGAAATGAACACATTTGCCAAATCAACGGCCGCATTACATGTAACTGAGGCCTTAATAATTTGCTGTAGCAAAAATATTCCACTGTTTAGCAGCTACAACAGGGCTCCAGCTTGGTTAAGCTTATAGTATTCTACCATCATATGTCTGGGTAACCACATGGAGGTGTGATAGGAGGGCCCACCAGACGTTAATCTCTATGGTGCAATACTGCTTGGATTTACTATTAATATTTTGGCTTCAGGAGGGGTGCAGTGTTAGAGGTTGCTACCCAGCCCTCCCCACGGGCCAAGGACCCAATGAAGATGTTACCGTGTTTCCCCAAAAATAAGACCTACCCATAAAATAAGCCCTAGCAGGATTTCTAAGCATTTGTGCAGCATAAGCCCTACCCTGAAAATAAGACCTAGTGATGGACGTGGCTACACAGCGTATCTGCACAACCCGTGCATTTCGTCTCGGAGCGGTAAAGAAGATGAGCAGCCCTTCTCATCTGCCCCATCGTGACAGCTGCTGTCCCAGAGGTGACCAGAAAGGTGCGGGCAGCCCCACCAACAAGGTCGGCTCCCCCTGTCAGGTGCGTGCTGCAAGCTGAGGCTTTGAGGGGAAAATAACACATCCCCTGAAAATAAACCTTAGGGTGTCTTCTTGAGGAAAAATAAATAAATATAAGATCCTGTCTTATTTTCGGGGAAACACGGTATTTCAGCTTCCAAGACCCAAGAAAATGATCACTAGGTCAATGTGTGGCTACAGGTGGCTGATTGTAAGCATATAAAACATATGGTTTTAGCCAGGACCCTAAGGCAGGGTGGGGAAGGGACACATACACAATGACATTTCAGATCTCCAAGCATCCATGTCAACTAAGTCCCTGTGTCCAACCATCCTTGAAAAGTCTGGGTATTCCCTTTTCCCCAGTATATAGTGACCCAGGTAAGTGGCCATAAGTCCCTTTGGGGCAGTCCTAGGGGAATCCCCACAGCATTTATTTACCACAGTGTTGCTGCGTCCTTCCTCCTGGGGACTTGGACATCTCTTCAGCCAATGAGTTCCAAGTGTGAAAATTGGCTTAAGTCTGAACTGAGCAAGGAAACATGACTTCTTACTTGGGCAACTGCTCTCAGCCTACTGCTGCTCCATGCCTGCACACCCTTCTCACCCACCCAGGGTGAAATTCCAAGTTAGCTCTCACTTTGATCCTCAGGAATGCCCTCTGCTCAAACATCACCTTTCAACTTCTTATTTTCCAGAAACTTTTGTTTCCCTTCCAGTGAATTTGTTAATCAGTATTCATAAACCATCTCTCAGATGTGTCCTACAATACTGACCAGGCTCTGTGTTTAGAACACTGGGGTAAGAGCTAAGGGAGATAAACACAATGTAATATACAACAACCGTGTTTTTGATGCAATGGTTAATAGATTATGAAAAGATAAATAATCAACATTTCCATACTACATGATCCTGTAATGAATGAAAAGAATTAAAATATTTGTATGAATAATATTCTCATAATTGGGCGGGATACAAACGTCTTAGACCATTAAATAAAACATAATACTTTATCCAAAGGCATTGAAATCAATATGTGGAAGAGATGTCTGCACTCCATGTTCATTTCAGTATTATTCACAATAGCCAAGATATAGAAGCAATCTATGTATCCATCCACAGAAAATAAAGAAAATGTACTATGGATACACAGCGGAATACCATCCAGCCTTTTAAAAGAAGGAAATTCTGTCATTTGCAACATGGACAGGACTGGGAGTCATTCTGTTAAGTGAAACACGCCAGGCACAGAAACACAAATACTGTATGGTTTCACCTATATTGGAATCTTAAAAAGTCAATCTCATAGAAACAGAGTAGAAAGGTTGTTACCAGAGGTTGGAGGGGAGGGAGAGAGGGGGAAAGGGAAAATGTTGATCAAAGGGTCCAAAGTTTCAGTTACATTAGAGGAGTAAGTTTTAGTGATCTATTGCACTGCATGGTGACAGCATTTAATAGTAATGTATTATATATTTCAAAATTGCTAACAGAATAGGTTTTTAATGTTCTTACCACAAAAATGATAAGTTGGTGGGGTGATGTATATATTAATTAGCTTGATTGAATCTTTTTTAATGTATACATACATCAAAACATCACATTGTACCCCATAAATGTACATAATTATTTGTCAATTAAAAATAAATGAAAAAGTAAAAAAGATTTGACATTAAAAAAAAGAAGAAACATACTAGAAATGCTTATTCCATATACAAGAACACATTATCCTTAAGTATATCCTAATACCTATCCATTGCTATTTTATATTTAAGCACCTTTTGCACAAATATTTTATACACTGGTGTATTACTTCCTTACTGGCTGTTGTAACAAATTATCACTACAAAAGGTCTTTATTGTCTCACAGCTCTGAAGGCCAGAACTCCAAAATCAAAGTATTGGCAGGGCTGTGCTCCCTTGGGAAGCTCTGAGGTAGAATCTATTCTTTGCTTCTGGTGGCTGCCAGCATGCCTCGAGTTGTGGCCACATCACTCCAGCCTCTGCCCTGTCCTCACTTACACTGCCTCTGCCTCGGCAGGAGTGTTGAATTTCCTACATCTCTTGTATCACACTTGTGATGGCATTTGGGGATTGCCAGAATAATCCAGGGCTATCTCCTCAGCTCAAGATCTTTATGTAATCACATGTGCAAAGACCCTTTTTTTCCACATAAAGTGACTGTTGTGGGTTTTTGGGATTAGGGCCTGATACCTTTGGGGCCACCGTTCAGACCACTACAGTTGGTATAATAATCTCACATCAGTGCAAGAATTTGTTAAAATTATCTCTGACAAAGAACACAAAGCACAGAAATGTAATAATATAAAGAAATGCCTATATAATTACCAATAGTTAAAAAATGTAAAAAACATTCAATCAACAGGTTCTTTTATATAAAGTGAAAATTATTTCCCTGTTTCTAATTCTCCTATGAAAATGAGACATGGTAAAAAAATAATATTCTACCTAAATTATGCATAAATTTACCAGTGATTACTGTACAACTCTAGGTTTCTTTCTATTTAAATAATAGGGTAGAAAATTATCAAAAGTTGAAGTACAAAGGATGCCAAAGGTAGACTTAGATCCAAATGAGTTTTTTTCCACTCATTAGTAAACTTGTTTTGTCTTTTATCAAGGGACAGCAAAACCTATTATGGGATTAAATATCCTGTATTTCATACAGACATTTTGGTCACCCATCATATTACCTAGTTTACAATGACATTGTTAAACATGATCTAGTTACAGCTATCCAGTTTCTAAAAATTCCACAAGCAATACTACTTCAGAGTTGTGATACAGCCCAATGATCTACTTAGAAAAGAAACAGCAAGTGTGTTGCTAGGGTGGCACACAAATGCTGAGCTTTGGGGAGAGGCAGATCTTGTCCTACTAAGGCCCTTGAAGCCAGGCTGCCCCAACTCCATACCATTCCTCAGCCCCATTCAGGAGTGGTCCCGGGTGACTGCCTCCTCCACTTCCTGACCTTCCCCATGTCATCTCATACCTCCCCGTACCGTCTCCATGCCCAGCATTCATATTCTAACTTTTATACCCACTGATCACCCCTACAGTTCTGGCAACTCCACAATCCCCTCCTGGCTTCTTGGGTCTCAACCTCACAACTTCATTTTCAGCTTTGTTGGCTTCTCTGCTGCCTGAGGTGTGAGAGACCTCTGCTCTCAGCCCCCGGAATTTAAGAAACTTCCCATTCCTTTGCTGGTGAACTCAACCCCTAATCCTCCTGCAGAGGGGAGATTTGGTTCCAGTGAATTACTGGAAAGCAATCTAATCTCCATCCAACAGAATAAAATTAGGATTATCAAGATCTCATATTTAAGCAAACCAATATAGAAGACTCCTATGAACTAGAAATTAATTTATTAATTTTAATTCAAAATAGAGGATTTTCAGTTTCATATGCACCTGCAAACAGTTTCCTAAAAGACAGCCTTGAACTCTGAATATTCACTACACTCAAAACAATTTGTCTGTGCTGTGTGAAAAGGTCTCATTGATGCAGCATTCGATTTCCTGATATGCACTGATCTTTCTGCCTTCGACCTGAATATCAAAATTAAACATGTGTAGCATCTGAACTACACATAATAAATCTTGGTGGTTTTTAAGTCCATAAGGAAAGAATAAGTGCCATAGGTGGGCCTGAAGAGGATGAATGATGAATAATGACTATTCAATTTATAAAACTATCAACATTATTTTAGCATTTTTATGTCTGATCTATATATATATGTATATAATATGAAAATAGCAATCCAAAATGAAGTAGGATTATAATTTGGATTTAAAAATACTTTTTTTAAAAAAACCCTCAGTTGCCAAAACAAAAAGGGATTATTTGAAAGTAAGCATCTTTATCATATGAGTAATTTCAAGCTCATAGGAAGAGATCAAATTAATTAGGGGAATGAACACAGGGAGATTGTCAAAATCGATTAATGTTGGATTGTTATACTAAGATGCTGCTCAAGTTCCAGTTATTTAGCTACATCTGACAGTATGACAACACACTACAGTCTGGCCATGCTAACTGGCAGAGAATTTAAAGTCAGTCTTCTTTTTAAAACCTTCTCTGGGAGGTAGCTAGCCTCACCTGCCCTTTCTAAACTAAGACTCATTAGCTAGCTGGTGACTTCCTTCTAAAGCTTCCTAAGGTCAGTGAGAGATATTGATCTATGAATCATTGGACTTGCATCCGGCTTTGCCTTTCAAACACCGGAGCGTTGTGGCTTTCGTGGGGCACAGGAGAGGGAAGCAGTACTTTTTTCGCCCCTTCTCAAGACCTACCAGCAAGGCCTCTCCAGAGACCAGAGAACCCCAGGAGTTTAGTGAAAACAGCAATGAGATCAGCAGAAAGAGTAAGGAACAACCTTACTCTTCCCTGTGCCAAAT